GTTTGCCTTTTCCTTCTCCAGCTCATTTTGCAGATGAGGAAACTGAGGCGAACAGTTAGGGTCCCACTGGTACTAAGTGTCTGAGGCCAGATTTGAACTCAGGAAGGTGAATCTTTCTGACTCTAGGCAGTGCACTATGCAATATGGCGCCACCTAGTGGTCCTTATTTATAGTAGGTACTCGGTGTACCTTCGTTGATACTCGTATGGCCCCTGCCCTCGTAGAGTTTACGTTCTAGTTGTCAAGATGACACAGACATGAAAAAAACCTAACAACAATGTGGTGAGCAGTGGTACAGGCAGTACGTGATATGGGAGTTGAGAGTCCTAGATTATCGTGGGCAGAGGAGGCCAAGAAAGGTGTCTCTGGAAGAGGTGAGACTCAAGCTGATCATCAAAGGATGCACAGGATGCAGAGAGGCAGAGGTTTTGAAGGAGAACCTTCTAGGTGGAGAGAAAAGTATTAGCAAGACCAGGTGTGAGGAGCGTGATGTATGATGGCAGAAGCGACAAGATGGGCCTGGCTGCTGCAGAGGGAGAAATGAGGTTGGAGAGGTGGGTTGGGGTCATATGGTAGAGTTGCTTTAATTATAGGTTTTGACGTTGGCTACTGAAGGGGCTGCCTCCAGAAACCCTAAAGAGGTGATCTAACTGGGCAGTATGGTATAATAGAGTGCTGGAGAAAGACCTGGCTCAAATCTGTGTGACCCTGGGTAAGTCACTTAACTCTGTTTGCCTCAGTTTCCTTATCTGTAAAATGAGCTAGAAGAGGAAAAGGTAAAGCTCTGTAGGATCTTTGACAAATCTGGTACTTACTGTGTGATCTTGGGCAAATCTTTTCACCTGTCTCAGCTTTAGTTTCATCATTTGTAAAATAGAGAGACAAGTAGGCTAGCAGATAATACACTGGATTTATGGTCAAAAAGACCTGGTTTGGAATCCTGTCTCAAATACTAACTGTACAATAAAGGACAAAGTCATTTAAACTTCCTTATCCTTAGTTTCTGCCCCTGTAAAATGGGGATACTAATGACTTTAGCACTTTACAGGGTTGATAAGCTAGACTGAATGGGATAATTTACATAAAGCACTTTGCCAACCTTAAAGCACTATAAAAATGTTGGCTAGCTGTGTGACTCTGGGCAAGTCACTTAACCCCAATTGGTTCACCAAAAGGAAAAAAAAAGCATTTATTAAAAATGTTGGTTGATATTTAACTCTGAGTTACAGAGTTGTTGTGAGAAAAGCTCTTTGTAAACTTTAAAGTGCTATTCAAACATGAGATATTATTTAAAGTGAATTTTACTTGGTTTTAAGAAGTATTATTCCTGACGTTGATCTTGAAACATCCAAACATGGCAGTAACTTGGCGTAGTGGCAAATGTCTTAGATTTAGAGTTAGAGAATTGGGTTTCAGTCCTGGCCCTGCCATTTACTATACTGTTTGTGTACCCCTGGGCAAGTCACTTAACCTGGGGGCCTCAATTTCATTGCCAGTAAAACAAAGTGGTATATGTATTTAGCCTCTAAGGTTTCTTTCAGCTCTAAATACAATCAACAAACTCTCAGACTCTCTCTAAGTCTCCGGACTCAGAATTGTCCTCTTTTCTCTAATTCTTTGCAGGACTGTCCCCTATTTTCTGGAATGCCCTAGCTCCTCACTTGGGCCTCTTACAATCTTTAGCTTCCTTTAAGGCTCAGCTCAGGTGCTACCCACTGCAGAAAAGCTTTCCTGATCACTACATCCCCAGGGCCTAGAACTGTGGCTTGCATATACACTAGGTGGTTAATAAATGGGAGTTGAATTCAATTTGATTGAACCGTCACATGCAAAATGGAAAATTGTTGCTGGGACATGAACTTTTGCATCTGGTAACTGAAATGAATTGAAGGTTCACTTTTGCTGCTGAAAATGGCTATTCAATTGTATACATTCCATCCTTTTAGGACTGGGTGTTGTCAAGATTGTAAAGGTTGTTATCTTTTTTTTTTTTTGAGAGCTGTGCTCTAGGCCACGTGTCACCTCCCTGTTTGTTAGTTGTTTGTCCTTCCTTCTCACAGAGGACCAATGACATCAGAAAGGTGATGCCATGACTTGCAAGTGAATTGGATTTAAGTGAGGGAGGTCTGTGCAGAGTCACCAGACTCACTCTCTCCTCCTAAGCCTTCTGGGTTCAGTGGCAAGATACAGATCAGGAGGAGTGGAGATGGCCTGGGATGCAGTGGGGACCTTGGCCTTTTTAAGCTAAGGTCTTTAACTGGTTTCAGTTTGACTAAGGCAACACCCATTCAGTGATTAAAGGTTAGGTAAGAAATGAGGCAAAGAGTGGCCTCTTTTGCCTAGTCAAAAAACAAAAGCAAAATCAATCTAGGAGGGAAGACCCTGAGGGTTTCTGACCAAAACAGAAACAATTGCTAGAGGAGAATGGAAAGAGAAGTGGTGCATAGGAACTCTAGGGATTCCTGGTCTTTAAGATGAAAAATGTTGGTTCTGGCTCCTCAATTCTAGCCTTTGCTCTTGTCCATCCCTCAGAAGCAAAAAAGGTAATTTAACAATTGCCCAAGTTTTACAGGTTAAGAGCCACCTCTTTCCCTCTCCTGGCTTGATTCTTTTGACCTCAGACCTTGAGATGAGAAGGGAACTTAGTTGTCTGTGGAGTCTATAGACCAGAATTCATCCTACCACTGAAGATTCTCAATAAACATAGCCCAAATTGGAAACCAGCCAATAACAAAAGGGAGCTATTGTCTTGGACAGAGTTAGGCATTGATCTTTTCTATCATCTCCTATTTCTCTCCATCCCCCCACCCCTCAGAATCTCTTTTAACTTGGGTAGTGACCATCTAACAGTTGGAACCAACCATAGGATTGGCTTGCTGTGGTTCCTACTCTATTGTGCCTCTCAGTTCTCTCTGCTAACCATGTTCACACAATTTAACCGATTTTTTCTCAACTTGAAGAGGGGAGGTTGAAAAGAGAGCTGGGATGGGGGAACCCTATCTGCACAAGGCTGTTTTTTCTAAAGTGAAAAATATGGTTGGAGCCCTGCTCTGTGAGGCAGCCCAGCATACTGGAGGATGGTCCCTCCCCCATCTTCCCATTCAACTTCCCTTCTTTTCTGTCTCTGGACCCCAGGACCCATATGTTATCCTCAGTGCTCTAGTTAGGGAGTAAAGCAATCAGAGAAAGCAACTCACTCATACTAAAGTGTTAGTGTGTTTGGGACATTTTTAAAGGTAGCGTAGTCCAGTGGAAGGTTGGATTTATAATCAGAACTCATGGGATTGAATCCTAGGGTTGTTACTTTTTGTGTAACACCAGGCAAATCTCATGTCTGTCTTTCTTTCTCCATTTGTCTGCTTCTTAGTCTCTGTCTCTGTCTTTGTCTCTGTCTCTCTATCTCTCTGTCTTTCTCTCTCTTTCTCTCTCTCTCTGTGTCGGTGTCTCTCTTCATGGTCCTAGATGGAGCAATGCACTTTAGCTTATTAGAAGGAGTCCTGGATTTGGAGTCAGAAGACAAAGTTTCTGCTATTTGCTGGATGATTTAAGCAAGTCACAATCTCTTTCAGTCTCAGTTTTTTCATATAACCAAGAAGCACCTATTAAAAGTGCCTATTTAGTTGATCTTCAAGTTGATCTTCTGGTTCTAAATCCTAAAATTTTGCTTCTGTTCCAAAGGAATAATAAAGCTATAATGGTAGAATTTTAGGCACATGGATATCACATGGATAAAGAGATGGAAGAAAGGGGGATTTCCTTGATGACTGCTGGTTCAGACTTTGAGTTAAACTGGCCCTGATTATAAACTCAAGTCCACCCACAGCCCTTACAGTACCCAGACTGTGTGAAGAACTGTTTAAATCGTCCCTCTCCATTTTCAGTTTAATTCTCTTATGCTATGGGCTTGGAAACCATAAGTGATATTTTGTAAATTAAGTAGGCTATGAGTGAGTGCTTTCTATTCAGAATTAGGCATGCGCCTGGAAGTGCAAGAGTTTTCATAAGTGGGTCCTGTGACATTAACTTTTTGCTCCTCAGAGACCCTTTTTGTTTCTTGTCCCAGCTTTTTAGCTGGGTTTAGATAAATAAGGATAACTGAGTTTGGAATAGATTGGGGGAGACTTGGGTTCCAGTTTCATTCATCTACCTGTGTTAAAATTCTACTGAGTTAGTGAATTACAGAAGTCCTTCAATTTCAAGCACATTCTAAAGTTTTCAGACTGGGACAATTCATCCCATTACTATTCCTGAAAGTGCATTTTTTTTTTTTAGAGGCCATGGGGGTTAAGTGATTTGCCTAGGGTCACACAGCGAGCTAGTAAGTGTCTGAAGCTGGATTTGAACTCAGGTCCTCCTGACTCCAAGGCTGATACTCTATCCCCTGGGCCACCTAGCTGCCCCCTGAAATTGCATTTTCTTAGGTATTTAAAAAACTCCTTCTTTCTCATTTATGTTCATCTCCTTTTGTATCTTGCAACAAACTCTGTCCTTTTGCTTTTACAAATCTCACACCAGCTTGGCTGCGTGTTCATGTTTATGCAACAAAGGCTACAAGAGCTTTGATCAAACACCTGGGACTGCATGGAAGACACAACAGAGCTAATTTTTCTTTGATAAAGAGAGAGGGAAGCCTGGGAGCAACACCGAATGACAACCCTCCCAGGGGCTTCCCGAGTTCTCTTTGGCGCCATCACAGATGATTGTGGCCCAAGTGGATTGTGCCCTCCCACTGATGAATATGCTCGAATATGCTCAAATATGCTCCCGAGTCTTTCTCAAAGCCTCCTGAAAACTTCCTGTCTACTTTACAGAAAGTGGACATCTGAGTTCAAAATGCTCAAGACCCAAAGGAAACTGTTCTCTCTATAGCATGCCTGCCCATGCAACTCTTTTGTAATAAGCTGCAATTTGTCTTGAGAAGCAGGGGGGATAGCTAATGCCACTGAGAACATGAAGAAAACACGGAAAAACAGATGTCGGACAAGTACAGGAAAGAATACCAATGTGCCTTCCGTTTTTCTGATCCGGCGTCTCTCACTGGCCATCGTGGACACACATCTCTTTTACTCCTGTTATCTGAGGGTAAACACAGGGTATTTCAGGCTTATAATGATGTATCTATTAAAATAACTCAGGTCCTGAGTAACTTAGCTCACTTGAACATTTTTGTTCCACTGAAGTACAATGAGAGGAAACAGTAGTGCAGGAAATAGTCATCCTATCAGGAGATGCAAAGTAACAGAGGCCACTAGTATTTATATACATGCTGGCCGCTGGGCTTGTAACTGCAGTTAAGCCACTAAACACGTTTTTGGGGGTTCAGGGGAGTGTCCAGTTTTATTCTTCAAGAGAGACAGGCACACATCTGCAGCCCTGGGGATCTGGAGAATGAATTTATTATGGTACTCATCTTCTTGGGAGGAGGGGGGTATTTCAAGGTATAGCAAATGACAGTGATTTTTGGAGGCAGCATTACTGTCCCTTATGGAGAAACTGAAGCATACAAGGATCAGTGGAACTTAATTAAAAATAAACAGAAAAAGACAGGAGATGAGTCCATGGGTTAAGATGGACAAGAACTCAAGTCCGTAATGTTCCCTCCTCACATTTTCTTCCCTAAGGGACAAATGGAGGTCCCCAATGCAAGGTTACTCTTTGATCATATTCCTCTGTACTTCTTGGGAGATTTTCACCTTGAGGAGTGAGGGAATCATTCAGATTGAGCCCATGGAACTGAGCCCAAATTCAGTGTTCGGTCATTGAACCATATTGTCCACTTGTAGCACTACAGGATTTAGAGCTAGGAACGACTTTAGAGGGTCATTTCAATTCAATTCAACAAGTGTTTTTTAAAGTTATCTTCTATGTTCTAGGCCTTGGGTTAGGTTTATAGATATAAAGAGTTTACGTTTAACTCTGGGAGGTAGGGGTAGTATGTACATGGATTAAGTAAATATTAAATATTAAAAAAGCAAATATAATTCCCCTGCCCCCTCCCTCCAGCCCCCCCACCTTGGGATTTGCCCAACTCACATTGCTGCTGGAGGGTTGAGTCCTAAGAAGGGAGGAATATTTTCCCTTTGGGAAGGTGTCTTCTTAAATACTAGCTCATGAGCCCCGACCAATGTGCTTTACCTAAATTAGCCAGTTGACCCAGTTTCTTAGCAAACACCTTTACTAAAACGACATAGCAAGAACAGTAGTTACAAAATATTTCACCCAAACATCAGGAGTTCACTCTCACTTTGACACATAGAATTGCTCAAAGTACAGTGGTAGTGAGCACAGGTGTATGAGATACATACTGTGGTACTGGAGAGCCTCAGTATCCTTTTTTTCTCCAGAAAATCATGAAGTTTACTACCTCCTTTCAAATGGGCTGGCTCTTCATAGGGCTGGCTCTTTGCAGGGTGCAGGAACTCTGATGGACTAGCTGTTCATTTGGAGTTAGGTTCTAGCATCTTGGCAGAAGAGGCCAGTCTGCTACCGGGCCAGGTCACTTGTGTCTGTGCTGGCAAGGAAGGTTGCCCAGTATCTGCTGGATAGGCCAGTTCATTGGTCTTCTGGCTCAACTCTTCCAGGGGTACTTCGGGTCTTTTTTTCTACCTTAATTCATTGCACTATGTTCAGCTGGAGAAAATTCTTCCTTGCTCAAAAGACCTTTCCATAAGCCTTAGAGTGATTTGTAATTTTCACCTCCCCTACTCCTTTGAAAATCTCACGTAGATGAGTGGCTAGAAACTAAGGTGTGAATGCATTGGGTGCTTTAGAGATACATTCACCATTCTGCTAACCTCTTCATATGCAATTAAGGTATCCATGATTTCCACCCTTTCTAAGTTGGGGAATGTCTGTTTTTCATCTGAAAGCTTTCCCCTTTACCTCTCAATGTGTCCTCTTCAGCTCTTGTCACGAAGTTTCACTGGGGCATTCCCCTTTCCATAAAAATGAAGTCATTTTGGTGTGTGTGAGAGGAGAGCTGTCATAACTAGAGAGATCAGTTTGGGCTTCATGTAGGACATGGCCCTTGAGCTTCTAAGATGTGGAAGTGAAAAGGAGAAAGAGCGTTCTAGATTAGTGACTGGGGGATGGGGATTTCCTGCAAAGGCAGAGGATGACATGGCACGTACAGGGAACAGTATTTCAGCCCTTTAGCCCTTTAACTGTGTGACCTCTAGCAAATTACTTGACCTCTCTGGGCCTGGATGTCTTCATCTGTAAATAATGAAGCTAGACTAGACTGCTCTCTAAAGTCATTCTTTTGAATCTAACTGTGCTAAGAGCAGTGCAGAAAGGACCCCAGAGGTCATCTAGTTTAATTCCTTTATTGTATAGGAGGTGAAATGACCGGCCCTAAGGTCCTATAATGTTAGCCAGATTGCAGGCTCACCGAGGGCAGGGACCATGCCTGGCTTTTCTTTTGTATTTTTACAGAGAAAGGTATAGAGCAGGTATTCAATAATATTCTTCTGAAATTCAATTAAATACTGAAAATCCAAACCTGAAATTCACAAATTCTTTTAGAGCCTACTCTTTCAAAGTTGCCAGGCTCTCTTCATCTTTCCTCTCCTATCAAAGTGTATTCTCTATGTAGCATGAGGATAGAGCATGAAGCAGAGACAAGAAGGAGGGATGAGGGGGCAGCTAGGTAGATAGAGCTCTGGCCTTGGAGTCAGGAGGACCTGAGTTCAAATTCCGTCTCAGACCAGACACTTGACACTTACTAGCTGTGTGACCCTGGGCAAGTCACTTAACCCTGATTGCCTCACCAAAAAACAAAAAACAAAAAAGGAGGGATGAGAGGAGGGGGATGAACCCTGAGCAGAGATCTCTGAGGTTTGGATTTCCTCGCCCTTAATCTTTTCAACAATTCAACATTACTGACAGAATCCAATCTTTTGAATGTTTTAAAAACCTGCTTCCATGAAAGTCAGGGTTCATAGAATAGAACCTTGTGAGGACAGAGCCATCTCATTCAAATGCTGTTGTTCCACTTACTTCTTTACTTGTAGGGTTTTATTTATAGAAATATTATCGGGGCAGCTAGGTGGCACAGTGGATAGAGCACTGGCCCTGGAGTCAGGAGGACCAATGTGACCTCAGACACACACGTGACATTAGCTGTGTGACTGTGGGCAAGTCATTTAGCACCATTTGCCTCACCAAAAAAAAAAAAAAAATTATCCAAGTTAATCGTGTTTATTTTAAATAAAATGTTGATTGTGGACATTAGTACCCATGAGCAAAGGAAAATCCACCTGAATTTCCTACACATATATTTCACAAATTTCACGTTTTACAACAGAGACCTTGACTCCGTCAAAACTTGTTTTCAGCTTCCTAAGGTCCCCCTCACGTTGATGAATGATTAGTCCTAACAGTTCGTGTGTGAGCCACACCACGATTCCGGACAAACCCAGTGATCCTAGTTCTGTCTGCGCCTGAGACACATTCTGTGTGTCTGCATGCAAGGAGGGGAGATGTTTGATTTCTCACCATAACAAAGCCTAATTATGTAGGGGCCTGATCTGGAGACCCAGTGGAGGCTTACAGCTGTCTTAGCTCGCTGCAAATGGGATTGTTGAGTCAATGTGGAAGTCTTCCTTGGGAGTATGGCATCATCGATTTATGAATTATGGCCCTTTTAAACTCTCTGCTTGCCTTCTCAGATATCGACTTTTAAAAAAAGTGATTTCTCCTAAGGATGCTTTTCAAAAACCCTGAGCACAGCCCAGGCCTACTCCTTTGCCAGAGTGGAGTCTTTGGGGCCTGTGACTCCCATGAATAATGAATTTCTTAGTGAGAGGCTTTGCCTTTGAAAGTGGCAAATGCATTGCTGGGAGAGCCAGGAAGGCATTAAGCTGCAGGCTGGCTGTTGCTTATTGTCTTTTAGGGGTGAGTTAATCAGCTGGGATAAAGGAAAATGCTTCTCCAGTTCTCTTGCTTTAGCTCAAATGGAGCCAGACCTTTTCTGGGCGTTTGAAATGCAGGGGAAGGGAGAGGGGCATTTCTGGTTTTTAGAGAACCCTTGAGGAACCTCAAGAACGCTTAAATCCCTTCACTGCAGAGGAACAGTATCACGGGCATCTCTGACCACTTGGTGGCTTTTCTTGGACCTCTATGGGTTCTGTTCTCCATCACTTCTCTTTTCACCGTCCTCTTCCAGAACAAAACCTTGATTTTCCTATTTGGGTTGAATTTGACAGTGATTGCTCTGGCCTCAAACCAGATTGGGGGAAGGTTGAGGAGCCATTCAAATCTGGGGCTAGGGCTGCGTGAAGCAGAGGACCATCTGGGGTCAGAGCAGATGTGGTAGGAAAGAGGGCAGTCCTACCCATGCATCTTGTTGAAGCAAGAGAGGACACTCCTCCATCGTCTACCATGGGGTAGTTGCTCCCTGTCAGTCTGGAGGAATGGACAGAGAGGTACAGGGATAGTGGTCACCATATGGAGCAAACACAAAAACACTTCTCCTCAGAGAGAGAGTGCCGTCCCTCCCTGACACCGTCTCCCCCCCCCACCCCCCCCCCAAATCTGCTCTCAGATGCTGGCACCCAGGGAGAAAGCCTGTTTGCCAGGTGCTAGTTGAGACTCTGTCTGCTGTCTTTGAAGACTGGCCAGTTTATATTCCTGAATCTTTCATCTCAGGTCTTTCTGGAGTTTTAGATTTCTCCCCACTTTACCTTCTGAAAAGGTCAGCATTAGTTTCCCAGAGCCATGAACAGGTATGTTCATAGAACTGCCCCAAATATAAAAGCTAATATAGACTCCTGGTGGGAATAGTTTTCAAGTTGGCAGGTTATTACAAAGCCGTTCATTCGTTTTTGATTCTCCCCTTTCTTTTATTTCTTTTCATTTCCATCTCATATACCGGCTGCCAGTCAGTAAATATTTTTTTGAGTTCCTGCCATGGGCAAAGCATATGAAGGATGTAAAGAAGTATAAAATCCAATTTCTGCCCTTGATAAGCTTATAGGAGAATTGTCAAGGGGAGGTAGAGAGAGGGGTGGGGAGTGGGGGGAGAGAAAAGGGAGAGAGAAAGAGAGAACATTCCAATGCAGTCTTTTCTTTCTTCTTTTGCTATCCTTGACTCAATGGCAGAAAAGAGCAATCGACTATTTCCTCTGTCCCTAGCGCCACTTATTAATTATGGGCAATGCCATCCTTTTTTTCCCCTTTCATTTCCCATACATGTCATTTATCTGTACTATACTCTTCAGATCTCTCTGCTGCCATAGTCTTTTGCCCAGACCAGATCTGCTTCCACCTTCCTAAGGATTTTAGCACTTGGTTAATATTCTGCTACTCCATCCTGTCCTCCACTTTTAACCTTAGTGAACTGACCATATTGCTGATCCCTAGGACTCATTGATCTTATGGTTTCTTAGCCCCTTTGACTCCCATTAACACAGACCTACAGCTCCATTTTTGTCATCTCAGTTTATATTATAGTTAGGAAGACTATATAGAAAAAAAAAACACACCCAGCAAATAACTCCTACAGAGGCTTGTCTTTTTTTTTTTTTTTTTTTTTTTTTTTTTGTTATAGGCAATTGAGGTTAAGTGACTTGCCCAGACAGACTTGCCATAACACAGAAAAGATAGATTGGTGCCAGATTGTCAGGGCTTTCAAACTGAAAAGAAGAGGACACATTTTATCTTAGGAATAATAGGGAAACATTGGCATTTGTTGATTAGGGAAGCAACGTGGTCAGATCTTTGCATGAGGAAAATGACTTTGGTAGCTGTGTAAATAGCCTGAAGTGGAGAGAGACTTGACACAGGGAGACCAATTAGGAGACTGTTGGACAATCTAGCTCAGAGGGGATGAAGATTTGAACTAAGATGATGATGGTGGGGCAACAGGGAAAGGCCCAGATGTTAAAAGAGATTATTCATTGAATCACACAGCTAGTAAGTGTCTGAGGCTAGATATGAACTCAGGTTCTCCTGACTTCAGGGCTGGTGCTCTATCCATTGTGCCACCTAGCTGCTGCCCCTCAGAGGCTTCTCTTCAACTTGAACTTAATTTGCTCCTTCTCTGACCATGGCTTCCTTACCATCTACTTACCCTAATTCCCTATATCTATGTCAAACCATTTTTATTATCTTGTTAGGACCTCTAGATGTTTAACTCTTCTGATTCGCTCAATTACTCACCTCCACTTTGACTGTACTTGACTGCCAGATAAGCCCGTTCTCTAGTCTACTTTTCCAGCCAGCTATTTCACTTCATAAAATCCCAGAATACCAGAGGTGGGGGGGGGGGATCTCTGAAGTCATCTAGTCTAACCCTTTGCTAAATAGGAACACCTGTGTAATTCTCCAAAAAGATATCCTTCCTTCCGTCTCTGCTTGAAGATCTCATATAATGGGAAACTTACTATCTCTTTAAATTTTTTTATTTGTTTGTTTTTCAAATGACACATTTTTAAAAACAGTTAATATATCCCTTACACTAACCTTGAAATACTTGAAGACAGTTATCATCTTCCCCCAAAGTGTTCTGTTTTCTAGCAAACACTCCCAATTCCTTGATCCTCCTATGTGACAGTTTCTAATCCCTTCTAATCTGTGGAAGACATATTGGAAAGGGTTGAAGAGTGAGTGAAAAGAGAAGAAATGGAGACAATTAGTGTAGAAAAAAATTTTTTTTTCTTCTAGGAGTTTGACTGAGAAAGGAGTATTTGAACTCTCCCTTCACCAGTGTGATGATGAGAGGATGGCAAAGATGCAGTGTCATTTGAGAGAAGTCAGGTCTCTTTGAGTACAAGGATAGCTGGAGTGGTTAGGAGAGGAAGAGCTTTAGAATGGAGGGAAATTTCTTCATTAAGGAATGGAAATTCCAAAGGAGGCAAGGAAAAGGGTCTGCAGAATTGAAATGGGACATGGAAGGAGAAGGGTTTAGGGAGATGGGAATGAGAGAATGGAAGCTAATTTTTAGGGTTTATTCTGATGATTGTATAACACAGGATAGAGAGGGTAACAAATAGGGGATGATGAGGGTG